AACTAGCTTTAAAGACTTAGGACATAGAACGTAAAAATCCTAAAACCTATACTGTAGCTTAAAGCAAGTGCTCATTTGCAAGAAACACTTCAAGGACATGTTCCATTTTATACATACTGTGCTGTGTCCAAAAGTTGATGCTGCAAAAACCACACAAAATTAACAAATTATCAACAAGATTTCATTTTCCAGCAGGATTTGGCACCTGCCCACACTGCCAAAAGCACCAAAAGTTGGTTAAATGACCATGGTGTCGGTGTGCTTGACTGGCCAGCATTCTAGCTATTCTAGATTCTCTATGGGGTATTGTCAAGAGGAAAATGAGAAACAAGAGACCAAAAAATGCAGATGAGCTGAAGGACACTGTCAAAGAAACTTTGGCTTCCATACCACCTCAGCAGTGCCACAAACTGATCACCTCCATGCCACGCCGAATTGAGGCAGTAATTAAAGCAAAAGGAGCCCCTACCAAGGACTGAGTACATGTACAGTAAATTAACATACTTTCCAGAAGGCCAACAATTCACTAAAAATGTTTTTTTATTGGTCTTATGAAGTATTCTAATTTGTTGAGATAGTGAATTGGTGGGTTTTTCCACGACATTCTAATTTATTGAGATGCACCTGTATTGTATATTACTGTGCCATGTCGCACAGCAGTTTCACATTTATTGTGCACAGACTAATTGCTTGTTACCTGCTTAGGACACAGTGTAATACTTTCCTGCAGTCCATCTTTTAGTTTATTACAGTGACTTTCAGCTGTGTGGTCATGTAAGTCAAAAAGCCAGATACATATGAACATATAGCATTCTACTACCCTAGAGCGCAACAAAATGACGCAGCTGGATTATGTAATCTGGACCATTTCCTTGAGAAAAATCCGATGTCCCTAGCCAATACTTCACAGCTGTCTTCATAAAACTCATGTGAAGCAAAACTGGAACAGATTACAATTCCCTACATTTAATGTACCAAATAACTAGCAGAATGACACCCTACCAGCTTCATATGTCAACAGGAGGTATTAAACTTGCCTGCAGAGCTGGATCTCTTGGCAGGGCTTTGCATTCCTTGAGGCTGAGCTATTCCAGTTTAAGTATGCCGTTGGCTGGTTCACATTTGTCTATGCCATGTCCATGTCATTGGACTACTACACCGTGTTAGAGGAGGCACTTTCTGTATTGCATAATGTGCTCACATAGTATCATTCAAAGGCATAGTTCTAAGACATGTACTCTTATACCCGCCACAATATTTACTCATGGAAATAGAATAATTAGCCATTGGCAAAGCTGTCGGTTGATTTGGAAACTGTTCCACAAGCAAAAGGCTAATGGAACATATTTACCGTATGATAACGTTAATCACAAAATGCCTGGCAGATATAAATTGGTCAAAGCTATGTATTGATATTGATATACATAAACTTCTATGATAGGATGTGAAGGTCTATTATGTATAGTGTGTGTGTGTGTGTGTGTGTGTGTGTGTGTGTGTGTGTGTGTGTGTGTGTGTGTAAAAGTCCTTCACCTTTATATAGCAAACATAACTTTTATACAGTTTGTTGACTTGCATATTTGCATAAACTCTGTTTCCTGTAATGACCAATTTCAGCTAAGCATGACTGGACCTCTTTTTGGCAACCAACAAAGGTTCGGCAGGTTCATATTTTCCCTCTGTCCCTCCTTTATCCCTGCCTTTTCTCTCTAAGCTGCTCTTTTTATTTTGATCTCTCTGCCCGCTTACTACCTCTTAATCAATATTTTTTTCTCTCTCTCAAAAGTCTTGTAAAAATATGCATATGCAAATAATAGAATATGTTTTATGGCCATATATAACTTGCACCCCGAACCCAAACACAAGAAATGGCATTCAAAATATAGGCTATATAATTCAAGAAGCCTTTAGACTAAAAGCATACGAGTGGTCTCATTTAAAAGAAAACATTTGGCAGTTTGTTAAGTATAATTTATTTATATAGCACCTTACACAGACAAGGAGTCACAAAGTACTTTACAATCAAATTTAAATCAAATCAAATTAAATACCAGCTGTACAAATACCACCAAACATCACCAAAAATTTGCTTCCAGACCATATTGTTAGTTAAAAGCTTGTCCAAAAAGATATGTCTTTAGGTGTTTTTTAAAAGATTCTACAGAACCCATACTTTTCAATGAGTGAGAAAAAAAGTGTTTATTACGTTTGAAATATGGATATTTATCTTACAAAAATGCATGGCTTCGCTACAGGAGGCCATTATTCACCCCCCGGAGCCATGTGAGGGATGTTTTATTATGGATGCACGCACTTTATTTCACGTCTTCTGAACTGTTGACAACCAACACCCACTTACCCCCATTGAAAGTCTTGGAGGGGCCAGGACAATTTTTAATATAACTCCGATTGGATTCGTCTGAAAGAAGAAAGTCACATACACCTATGCTTTGAGGGTGAGTAAAACGCAGGCTAATTTTCATTTTTGGGTGAACTAACCCTTTAAATGATGTTACATCAAGGCTACTCTTTTTCAAGAGAGGCTGAACAACAGCATGTTTAAAACACCTAGGGACCTGGCCCAGCCTAAAAGATAGGTTTATAATTGAATCCAAACATGAGCCAATAGATGTAATAGATTTCATAAACAGAGACGTAGGGAAAATATCCACAGGGCTTTGGGAAGGTTTCATCATGCCCACTAACTTGATGTAATTTAGGGAAATGGGGCTAAAGGAGTCCAAAATTGACAGACTTTGTCGGGTAACTGTAAGAGGATTTGCTGGTGATGCAATGTTTGCCCTGACAGCCATAACCTTGTCCACAAAATGAGATAAAAAATGATTGCAGTCATTATTAGAAAACACAGGGACAAGAGATGTAGCAGGAGAGACAATATTGTTAACAGTTTCAAACAAAGTTTTATGATTCCTTTTGCAGGAATGTGTCGTGACACAGTGTCGAGATCCCGAAGCGCAGATGTTTTAAAACACTGCTCCGAAGTCTGATTCGAAACATCCATGTCACATGACTAAGGCGAATCAAAGCATCGGGGCGTTTCACAAGTGTTTCGAGACCCGAATCTGCTTTTGATCGATAGGGTCAGGAACAAACCACACAATCGCACATCTGTCTTAACCTAACTCCCGCAAAGTATAAAAGTGGAGTTAATGCAGCAGAACAATTAATATATTTAAGTAAAAATCTTTATATGTAAATGTTTTCATGACCAAAATAACATATTCACAAAGAGTTCATTCAGTTGTCAGAGAGATGTTACAACACATTACAAGAACAAAATAATAAAAACTTTCAAATATTTATTATAATTACATGCACGCTTCACCCGGGATTTGAATCTAAAGTGACAGGTTCTGACAACATGCCTAATGTACAAACTAACCACTCCCCCAACTCACATAGTGGAATGATGAGCACAACTACGCTATAATTCATAATTTTGCTTACAGGGGTCCTATTATGCTCTTTTACAAAATCTTGATTTTGTTTTGGGGGTGTACTAGAACAGGCTCTCCTACTAGGTTGTTCGAAAAACACATTATTTTTCACATATTTTACATTATTACAACGCCTCGCTCCCCAGTCTGGCATGAACGGCTCGAATAGTTCCTGTATCAAATGAAGGCCCGCCTTCTGAAATACGAAATGTGCTGTGATTGGTTAGCTGGGCCAGTGTGTGTTGTGATTGGCAGCACTTGGCGCCTGGTTGGGAAATGTCATGCCCCTTACCCTTACTGCTGCGAGCTTCAGTGTAAATATTGCATCTAAATCAAATCAATTTGAGTGCGATTTAAACCCGGATGATTGCAATCACTCTAAATGTGTCTGCCTTGGGAAAGCTAGCGTGTCTCCGACTTAGTGATAACACTCATTGCCTTCTCTAGTGCAGCTCAACCAGGTCTCGTCCCATTCGTCGATCTTTGTGAGATCACAAATCCCAGAAAATATGCGTTGTAGTCCAAACGAGTCGTTCGTTGTAGTTTTTGAAAAGTGATTTCTGTTAAACAAAATATCTCCTTTTGAAGTGGACTTTGAGCTTTGTAACATTGCAGATCTTTTTTATGCTCAAACAGCAACATTACAGATTAACTAAAGTTGAAAAAGTATAAAAGCATAATAGGTATGGCAAGCCGATTTAGCTTAAATTGTTCCCAGCCTTACTCATCGTAATTGCATTTTTACTAGTAACAATTCAATTAGAGAGCTCTACAATTAAATTCTTACTAGTAACAATGCAATTGCAGAGCTCTAATTCAATTAGAGAGCTCTCTAATTCAATTCTTACTAGTAAAAATGCAATTGCAGATATCTCTAATTCAATTAGAGAGCTCTCTAATTCAGATCTTACTAGTAAGAATGCAATTGCAGAGCTCTCTAATTAAATTAGAGAGCATTCTAATTATAATTGTTAGAGAGCTCTCTAACTGACATTGTTACTAGTAAGAATTTAATTGTAGAGCTCTCTAATTGAATTGTTACTAGTAAAAATGCAATTACGACGAGTAAGGCTGGGAACAATTTAAGCTAAAACGGCTTGCCATAGGCGCTGGCTGGTGTAACTGAGTGGAGGCGGGACTAATTTGCATATTCATAGATCAGCGTATAGTAAATGAGGCAAGGGTGTAGAGTTACATTCCAGCTATTTTAAGGCATGAGAAAATTATTTTCACAAGAAAAAACATTTAAATATGTCATTTTGATCATCAAAGATACGTTTTAAGGGATAAAATATTTGACTACAGGGGGGCTTTAAGGATAGAAGGGATACAGCTGCGGCTACTGTAGTGTGGGCTGTTCTTTTTTAGATCCTGCTTACATCCGGGCCACTAAACCACGCCCATTTTGTATCCCTGTTTCAATATCTTATTCTGCTTATAATAATATTATCGCCCTTGTAAATTGTTAATAATACGGGCTGTTAACAAAGACATTGCAAAACATTAATCAGTATAAACTTGTTCTCTCTCTCTCAACGTGGCTTCGGCGTCGTCACAATGACGTATGCGCCTGCGTCAGACGCAGCGTCTAGATTCAAACTGGTCGGCGGTTAAGAAGAAACCAGGAACAAGTGAGGAGGGCTTGAAGCAGCGTACAGAAAATAAGCTAAATCAAAAATCCAAGATGTCCAAGACATTGAAAGGAATCACTCTGAAGGGGAGCGCGGAACTCGTTGCTGAGTTTTTCTGTACGTAACGTCAATGGTTTTGGGGCAGATGAATGGGTTTCACGGCGTCGTTGATGTCTGTCCTGGTTACAATAGAAATGGAATAGAAATCGACGCGAATCGTGAGCTGTCTGAAGTTTCGTTCAAAAAGACTCGTGCCTGTGCTAAGGTTTATCCATTCTGACAAGCCTTTGTTGTTTTAATCTCAAATGCATGGCTTTAAAAGTAAAGATTTTCTGATGATGATGATCTCTAACCATGTAAAGCCATTTGTTTAATGTTAAAAGGTTTGCGCATGTGTTTTGATGTGTAACAGTTATCATATTTGATACATTAGGATTCTGTAGCTCATAGTAAACCTTTTTTGCGTCAGAATAACTTATGTCAGTCAAATTTAAAGGTGAGCACTTCCTGCAAGTGTTCCTCTTGAAATATTGCAAACAATATGCTATTCTTACATTTACTTTATAGAAATCAGTAAAGATTTCACAGCAAAAAAGGTACATTTTATAAATAGCCTATGTACTAAATGCCTTTTACTTGGGGGGGAGAGAAGTATAAACTGTCAATCAAATGTCAGAAGTCATGTAATAGTGGTCAATAGTTTTTTCATCAAAGTTATAATCAAATTAGAGGCCTTAGACATATGTGTAGAGAAAATAATACAGTAGCCTTGTTTATAATTATGTTAGTGTTATCCATTTTTAGCTCCTGCGATCGTTCTTACAGAGTGATTGATTCATTTGGAAAATGAAATACATTTTGGTATGCAGTGGTGTGCTGTGCCTTTTTAATTGTTTCAGAAAATAAATGAAACGGGTCCTTTGTTGTCTGTAGCGTTCGGAATCAACAGCATCTTGTACCAGCGAGGAATCTACCCAGCAGAAACCTTCACCAGAGTTACACAATATGACATGAGCCTTCACCTGACCACAGATGCAAAGCTGAAGAACTACCTCACCAATGTCGTCTCACAACTCAAAGGTTGTTTTTCTTCCAACCTTTCTTGTCTGAAAAATAATAGTACCACATCTTGTGGAACAGTTTGTTTGTTTCATTAAGACTGGCAATGCAGTTTAGTGGGAGTTGCATATGACAGTCATACAAGTTGCTTTCAACTTTTTTTCCGTGTTATTTAAGTGAAAGGAATCACTCTGAAGGGGAGCGCGGAACTCGTTGCTGAGTTTTTCTGTACGTAACGTCAATGGTTTTGGGGCAGATGAATGGGTTTCACGGCGTCGTTGATGTCTGTCCTGGTTACAATAGAAATGGAATAGAAATCGACGCGAATCGTGAGCTGTCTGAAGTTTCGTTCAAAAAGACTCGTGCCTGTGCTAAGGTTTATCCATTCTGACAAGCCTTTGTTGTTTTAATCTCAAATGCATGGCTTTAAAAGTAAAGATTTTCTGATGATGATGATCTCTAACCATGTAAAGCCATTTGTTTAATGTTAAAAGGTTTGCGCATGTGTTTTGATGTGTAACAGTTATCATATTTGATACATTAGGATTCTGTAGCTCATAGTAAACCTTTTTTGCGTCAGAATAACTTATGTCAGTCAAATTTAAAGGTGAGCACTTCCTGCAAGTGTTCCTCTTGAAATATTGCAAACAATATGCTATTCTTACATTTACTTTATAGAAATCAGTAAAGATTTCACAGCAAAAAAGGTACATTTTATAAATAGCCTATGTACTAAATGCCTTTTACTTGGGGGGGAGAGAAGTATAAACTGTCAATCAAATGTCAGAAGTCATGTAATAGTGGTCAATAGTTTTTTCATCAAAGTTATAATCAAATTAGAGGCCTTAGACATATGTGTAGAGAAAATAATACAGTAGCCTTGTTTATAATTATGTTAGTGTTATCCATTTTTAGCTCCTGCGATCGTTCTTACAGAGTGATTGATTCATTTGGAAAATGAAATACATTTTGGTATGCAGTGGTGTGCTGTGCCTTTTTAATTGTTTCAGAAAATAAATGAAACGGGTCCTTTGTTGTCTGTAGCGTTCGGAATCAACAGCATCTTGTACCAGCGAGGAATCTACCCAGCAGAAACCTTCACCAGAGTTACACAATATGACATGAGCCTTCACCTGACCACAGATGCAAAGCTGAAGAACTACCTCACCAATGTCGTCTCACAACTCAAAGGTTGTTTTTCTTCCAACCTTTCTTGTCTGAAAAATAATAGTACCACATCTTGTGGAACAGTTTGTTTGTTTCATTAAGACTGGCAATGCAGTTTAGTGGGAGTTGCATATGATAGTCATACAAGTTGCTTTCAACTGTTTTTTCCCGTGTTATTTAAGAAAACAATATGCTATTCTTACATTTACTTTATAGAAATCAGTAAAGATTTCACAGCAAAAAAGGTACATTTTATAAATAGCCTATGTACTAAATGCCTTTTACTTGGGGGGGAGAGAAGTATAAACTGTCAATCAAATGTCAGAAGTCATGTAATAGTGGTCAATAGTTTTTTCATCAAAGTTATAATCAAATTAGAGGCCTTAGACATATGTGTAGAGAAAATAATACAGTAGCCTTGTTTATAATTATGTTAGTGTTATCCATTTTTAGCTCCTGCGATCGTTCTTACAGAGTGATTGATTCATTTGGAAAATGAAATACATTTTGGTATGCAGTGGTGTGCTGTGCCTTTTTAATTGTTTCAGAAAATAAATAGTGTTATCCATTTTTAGCTCCTGCGATCGTTCTTACAGAGTGATTCATTTGGAAAATGAAATACATTTTGGTATGCAGTGGTGTGCTGTGCCTTTTTAATTGTTTCAGAAAATAAGTGAAACGGGTCCTTTGTTGTCTGTAGCGTTCGGAATCAACAGCATCTTGTACCAGCGAGGAATCTACCCAGCAGAAACCTTCACCAGAGTTACACAATATGACATGAGCCTTCACCTGACCACAGATGCAAAGCTGAAGAACTACCTCACCAATGTCGTCTCACAACTCAAAGGTTGTTTTTCTTCCAACCTTTCTTGTCTGAAAAATAATAGTACCACATCTTGTGGAACAGTTTGTTTGTTTCATTAAGACTGGCAATGCAGTTTAGTGGGAGTTGCATATGACAGTCATACAAGTTGCTTTCAACTTTTTTTCCGTGTTATTTAAGAGTGCCGTATTCACGTGAGAAAAACTACTAAAGAATACTGCCAGATACATTATAGCAGCGATGAGCCACTTGGTTGTATATGAATAGCAAACTGTAACACTAAATATGTTGACCAATTGCCATTTTGACCAAGGCACCACAACGCTTAATGTGGTAGAATTAATGATAGTTCCACCTTTAGTTAAAAGAGCCGATTTGCATTTATTCAGTTGCTTTGTTAAAGGAATAGTTCATTCCCAAAAATGAAAATATCAAGCCATCCATGATGTAGATAAGGGTCTCCAAACTCGGTACTGTAGGGCTGGTGTCCTGCAGAGTTTAGCTCTAACTTGCCTCAACACACCTGCCTGGAAGTTTCTAGTATGCCCAGTAAGACCTTGATTAGCTGTTTCAAGTGTGTTTGATTGGAGTTGGAGCTAAACGCTACAGGACACCGGCCCTCCACGACCGAGTTTGGAGACCTCTGATGTAGATGGTTTGTTTCTTGATCAGACCAGATTTGGAGAAATTTAGCATTGTGTTATTTGCTCACCGATGGATCCTCTGCAGTGAATGGGTGCCGTCAGAATGAGAATCCAAACAGCTGATAAAAACATCACAATAATCCACAAGGAATCCATACGACTCCAGTCCATCAGTTAAGGTCTCCTGAAGTGAAAAGCAATATGTAAATCAAAATTTCTCCAAATATATATATATATATTCCTTTAACAGTAGAACACTGTTGTGCATGTAAGCTGGACCAGCCCAAAAATATTGTTTTTGTATGTTTGAGAGATTTGAGCTGAAGAAGCACAATTGAATTTAAGATTTCAGTATCCCCCTATTTAAGTGAACAAGAGCTGTACTTTCATGACTAGAAATGGAAACCTGAGCCTGCTTAGTTCTTTAGCATTGTTTGTCCTTTTCGTTGCAGAATGGTTGTTTGATTGCACAGTTCAGAAGCTGGTGGTTGTCATCACATGCCTGGAGACCAATGAGGTGCTGGAGCGATGGCAGTTTGATATTGAGTGTGACAAGACCGCAAATGAGAGCAGGTACGTAATCGAACTTCATAATATGGAAGGATAAATGATTAATTTTCATATTCAATCACAGCCTTGAATGCAAATATGAATCGTCATAAAGTATTGTACACTTTGGCTTTTCCAGCGCACCCAGGGAGAAGTCCATAAAAGCTATCCAAGAGGAAATCCGTTCCGTTATCAGACAGATCACTGCCACAGTCACCTTCTTGCCGTTATTAGAAATTGCTTGTAAGTAAACTACATGTGATCATTAGATCCATGCAGTCACACCGCAAGATCACTGTCATCCTGTGCTATATAATTTGTATGAAATATATATATATTTTTTATCATCACTGTAACATTCAATTTCAGACAAACTAGTATTTTAATAAATGTTATACTTTTTTTTTTTTTTGGGCAATATTGCATATGCTATTGTTTACATAGCAGGGCTCCAGAGTAAAACGGGCACATTTGCGAGAAAAAAAATATAAATTTTCGAGTGAAGTTTTTGCTGAGGTGGCCACTGACGACTATAGAAATTGACATGTTATGATTTAAATATTTGCATGTAATGACTTTTTTTTTTTTTGCGAACACATTTTATGTTTATGTAATAAAATGAGACGATGCACATCAAAGTTTTAGTGAAAAAAAAGACTTTCAAACACACCTTCTTGCCGTTATTAGAAATTGCTTGTAAGTAAACTACATGTGATCATTAGATCCATGCAGTCACACCGCAAGATCACTGTCATCCTGTGCTATATAATTTGTATGAAATATATATATATTTTTTATCATCACTGTAACATTCAATTTCAGACAAACTAGTATTTTAATAAATGTTATTCTTTTTTTTTTTTTGGGCAATATTGCATATGCTATTGTTTACATAGCAGGGCTCCAGAGTAAAACGGGCACATTTGCGAGAAAAAAAATATGTTTATGTAATAAAATGAGACGATGCACATCAAAGTTTTAATGAAAAAAAAGACTTTCAAACAGTCCTCATCTCTGCCGAACAGCAGCGTTGACGGCACCTACTGAAAGCAGTCTCTATTTTTTTTTTTTGGGCAATATTGCATATGCTATTGTTTACATAGCAGGGCTCCAGAGTAAAACGGGCACATTTGCGAGAAAAAAAATATAAATTTTCGAGTGAAGTTTTTGCTGAGGTGGCCACTGACGACTATAGAAATTGACATGTTATGATTTAAATATTTGCATGTAATGACTTTTTTTTTTTTTGCGAACACATTTTATGTTTATGTAATAAAATGAGACGATGCACATCAAAGTTTTAGTGAAAAAAAAGACTTTCAAACAGTCCTCATCTCTGCCGAACAGCAGCGTTGACGGCACCTACTGAAAGCAGTCTCTATTCGTGCGCAACTTCAACAAACTACAACAGGTAAAGCTGTCAGCTGTGTGGACATTAACAATTAGTTTATAATCGATATGGCTTCTTGTGATCAAGATCTTTAGTCTATTTGCTGTGTTCTGTTAATGCGTGAGCTTTATACTATTTGTGGCGCACTTGCCGTCCAATAATCGTAATAAGCTTCGTGCTTTGTTACATTTTAATAAACAAAGTAGCTTTAAAATTCTGCCAAACTCGTAACTGATTTTCAAACAATGAATACTGGTTTGGTGCTCTTTAATGCGGCATGAGCACTTGCTTTACCACCTCAGTTCATGTGAACCCATCATTATCTTTCTCTTTACTACGATAGTAGGCCTACAAATTAAACATGAATGGACACCAAAAGGTATTTTATAAGAGTACATCTTACTGAAATGACTCATGGAATCGCTCATTCAGTGTTTGAAACAGCGGAAAATGTGGAAAACTTGTAAATAATGCCACATAACAATTATTTACCTCAGAATAACTATTCCGCATCCATAAGCTCATCAGTCAGTCAGAAAAAATAACTATAAATGGGAGCATTTTGCTTAATTTATGCCCTATATTGCATATTCATATTTTTACTTAACTTGTTGTCTACATGATAAGAAAGAATGCAAGGAGCTAAAGGTAATATTCGATACCTCCTATATAATTGCATGTTACTAATGAAGAAAAACAGACTGGATGTGTGCAAAACATATGACAACATTTATAGGACACATTGAGGAGGAGCCCAAACTACACTCAATGGCAAAGTGATGCTGAAATAATTATGGTCCACGATATTGGCACAGATTCTGTGTAATAAACAATTATTTGTGACTGTATATAGTTCTCAAATTGGAAAAGACATTTAGTTCCCAATTTAAGTGATTCTTAGTTCCCAGGACAACTACAAGATGGATAGAAATGCTGATAAAGACAAGAAAAGATGAGACATAAACACATTCATGTATGACTGAAATGTTAAATTGCTAAAACAATAATAATACACGTTTAATCTATGGCACCTTAAAAATAATAATTTGGTAGCTAATTTTGTTTCTTCTAGGAGCCAATGGCTCCTTAATTAAATGTTTTGTCTTGAGCCCTGTATAGTACAACAAATGTATATAGGCCTTTAGCAATAACAATAGAATTCTTTATAACCAATTCTTCTACAGCACAGCATACTCAGATCTAGGGTGACCACCTGTCCTGCATTTTGCAGTACAGTCCTGAAATTGGAAGCTTTGTCTCATTCTTGCAATTCATAGTAGTGTCCTGCATTTCAATTTTCTCTGTATTATATTTTCCCCTGAAATTACAAAGTTATTTTGCAAACTGGGATTATTGGGGTTTAAAACATGCAAAATTGCGTTGCTCCTTTTTCAATCTTTGTATAGACTAGTCAAGTAGCACAACTTAGTCATTGCTTAAGGAAATTAATTTTCAGTTCATTACATTTAGTAGACTGACTGTTATAACTTGAACCTCATCAAATTGTGTGCCAGTCAGAGTCTCACAATTTAACATTTTAAAAAAGCTTATTGGTGTATTTTACAGCATATTATCATCCAGTTTCACTGCAAACAGGATTTCATATAACAATATTAAAGAATAGCAGAGTCCACACCACAACTATAACGATAAAGGCACAGAGAAACACGCTGGAATCACTTTCAGAACGATCTTTTCCAGCTGATGAACGATAAAAACATTGACAGCCAATCAGAATCCATCCTGCTATAACGAGCTCAAGAATTTAAAGTGGCAGACGAGCGTGTGCTTACAGGCGATATCGTTCGCTGGTGTGGACGCTAATATCGTTATCTTTATAGTAGGGCTGTAAATCTTTGGGTAGACAGCGAATCGATTCGATTCACGATTCATAGGTTTTCGATTAGATTCAAGAACGATTTTTGAAAATTCACAACGATTCGATTCACAATTAAATTCGATTCGATTAACGATTCGATTCTGAGTTCACAGGATTATTTAAATGCTTCCCCTAAATTCTTTAAATGCTTAGTCGGGGCAAATTGCACCGCAGGCTTTATGGTTACAGAACCATAGGTTAGAGAAAAAAACACTTGTCCATTGTTAGATGCTAGTTTAATGATGCTATAGCATGACATGTCAAAAAAGAGCTTCAAATGTATTATATAGGCTAACATTGTGTCACACCAGGGGCATAGCCACCATTTCAGAAGAGACAGAAATGTCAAATACAATAATTTTATGTATTATCATTATTATTATTCTTTTTTTTTACAAGGAATTCTTTTCTTATCTCTTACTTTGAATTTGCTATGAGAAATTAAATACACTGCTGGACAATAATCAATCATTTGTAATCCTATATATTTTTTCCTAATGGCAATTTTATGATTGTTTTATATACTACAAACAATTATTTCAATTTTCTGCACAGAATAAGGTAAAAAAAAAAATATATATATACTTTTATAGTTTCTGTAGGCTACTGTAATAAATGTCAATTAGCACTGCATCATTCATAAATTGTATTTATTTATTGTGTGTGTTGTCTTAACTTCAGTTCATTCCGCTTTTTATACAGTTTAGCTGCCTGCAGATATAGCCTGACACGTCTATGAACGCGAGATCAGGTCTCTTTCAGTGCGAAAGCTTCTTTATCTCATTTTCATAAAATAAAATGCTTTAGTATTTAACTTTTCCTCTCCATCAACGAACGCTACTTTCATGCATCTGATTATCAGCTCACGCTCTTATTTCAAGGTTGTTGTTAATGCTGGGGTTAGTCTTTGCAACTTCAGGGATCTTATCTATGCACAATCAGCTTGTAACACTCCAAAGAGAAAGGAAAACTTGAAATCGCATCATATGACCCCTTTAACAGTTTCCTTCGTACATTCGGTTGAAGGACATTGTTAAAACACATTTATCATTCAATGGAACTGTGCGTATGCTTTAGACACTTACATTTTTGCTCCATCCATGTAATAAATGCGCAGCCTTCGACTGCTCAGGTAATGTCGTCGGTATGACCTAGAGCCATTGAAAAACTACAGAAAAGTAAAACTACTTCACTTTAGCATTACTGGCCTCGAGTAGGCTACTCGGGAGAAGATCACACATCAGCTGCTCAAAAAATGTGTCAGTGAGACGAACGGAGCACGAGCGCAATCCTGTGACAGTCACAGGTGGTAAATAGTGGAGCGCGTGAAGGAGAGATGCGAGGCACGAACACTGTTCAAGGTCTCCATTAATTCCTGCTTATAGTAATTTATTGTGAACCTATATATTTTGAAAGCATTGAATCGCTATAGAAATCGCGATTCATTCGATTCTTAGCATTTTAAATCGATTACTATGGTGGCCGAGAAGTGCTAAACAAATCACAATTCTGAAAACAAAATAACAAATTACAAATGCAAATGCAAGTCTATAAAACGAAACAATTCGGAACAGTTTTCGGATTTGTCGTTGTGTTTTCTGACTTGTTATTTTGTTTTCGAATTTGTCATTGTGGTTTCTGACTTGTTGTAATGTTTTCTGAATTGTTGTTGTGTTTTCTGAATTATTTAGTTTTTTAGACTTGCATTTGCGTTTGTAATTTGTTATTTTGTTTTCAGAATTGTGATTTGTTTTGCACTTCTCGGCCACCGTTGATTACTGTCTGAAATCGACTACTCGCGATTCAAAAATCCATGTTTCAATGCATCGTCAGGGTTTCTGCCCTTGCCATTCTCGCACAAGGTTGTAGCACTTTAATTCATAAATGTGATCTAACAAAGGTAAAGGGCAAATATTAACCATATATGTTGTTTATATTGCTTGTAATTGGGATGAAGTAAACATCTGTTTTTGTATTTTAACATAACATTTTTGATTGTGTTGAATTAAAAACCCAAAAATGCAGCGGGTCCAACCAGACCCACGAACAATAACAAAAATATGACCACATAAGGGTTAAAAATAATAGATCCATCAACATGTCAGGTGTGGAACAGGTTTCTTTTTGAACATGCCAAATGGGCACACAGCGATTGCATTGAACTTTACATTTCTACAGACATCTTATTTCCATCACACTCCAAAACAAATATTTGTTGTGATTGTCAAGGATTTTAACACATTTGTGTAACAGATGATAAATACGTTCACATATCACAGGCTATTGATTTCTTTATATGCAATGTAGGTGAAAAAAAAAATCTAAAGCATGGTATAATGGTGTAATACAAAGTGACATGGGAAGTTGTTATACAGTGAAAAATGACTGTTTGATGTGTCCTTTTTATGCCAGCTTACTTTAGCAGTGCAATATAGCAAAATACGATTTTGTATATGTGCGTATTTCAATAATTCAGTGAGTGAGCTGCACAAAAAATAAGACTACAAGAATAAATAAGGAATGTTCTGGGCTCAATCCAAGTTGATTTGCTGTTGATTACCATGTAAAATAATTGTGAAATGTTATAAAAACAAGAAAGAGTAAAATTTAGAGTAAACCAGGTAAATTGGAATTAGGAAATCTGTGAAGGAAGGCACTGCACTAGTATAAATGTTAGAATACATGCTTTTCAAAAGAATAGCTAAAAAAAATAAACATTACATGGTACACATAAATCTAACGTGCTAGAACTGCTAGCTAAGCTTATCTGTGTAAAATTATACCTAATATCTCAACTCCAGCCATGCTTATGGTTACCAGAAATCAGAAAGAGTTTTAACTATTGTAATTATCTGCGAAGTACTGTTTGCATGGAGCAACTCCACCCACAGGAATTACAGTAGAAATGCAAAAAATGAATCTGTCTAGAACAGTAGTTCCACTGCTAAAAGAGTGATTTATTATTTAGACAACTTTTTACAACTTTACAATTACTTACAAAAATACAACTTGTACACTTCTGACTTCTAAATCTTACCTATTAAAATTCTAGTGTGTGTGTGTGTTTGTGTTACGGTAAATGTCATTTTTGTTTGTTTTTACAAATTAAAAGATGAGTTGAAATGATTGTCTTTGTTAACAGCATGTCACAAATGCTTTGGACAGAACTCGTATTGAACCTGGAACATTCCTTTAATGAGTCAAGATAATTTAATCAGTTTTAAAGCATTTCTTCATCAGCTGGATTACCTGCACAGGAAAAGATCCATCAATCCGTCTTTCCTTCATCAAGTCTTTTATAGCACAGCTATACACAGCTCAAAAATTGACTTTATTCTGATGCATCTATAACCCAACCTTGCACTTTTAAACCTGCTCCAGTGTGCTTTGTGAAATGGCCAGAGCAGTCATGTGAATATCATCAAACCAGGGTCTTGTAATCCTTTAGTCTCTGGGAAATGGGCAGGGAATGATGTCCTAGGACGTCTGCATGCCAAAAGAAATGTCACAGTCCTCCATTTAGCAAAGCTTCCTCTCCTTGCTCAGCGAGCAGCTTCCAATTCTGTCTGTTCTTCCTACATCCCTCCAGCAGGGGGGAGCAGTACTCCGAGACACCCGTCAGCGCCTGCTCACACAAACACAGGGCAAGCGAGCAGAAGGACACTCAATAAAAAATGATCACAAGCTGATGTTAAAAAGATGAGACCCAAAAATAAAAATTCTGTCATCATTCACTCATATTTTGAAGAATGTTGTGGTCCAAACAAAATTGGACCCCACTGACTAGCTGCATGGAATCTAAACATTGTCATTTTTCAAAATATAAGAAATGGATAAAAGTTTAGAATGACATGAAGATGAGTACATGATGACAGAATTTTCATTTAACAAGCAGAAGAAATTGTGAGGGCTTGCTTTATTCTAAATGATCAAATTAACCCTGTAAATCCTGACATGATACAGTAAGCTTTATAGAGTTAAAATACCCACATGATTAGCAGTTGAGGTATTCTAATGCACATTCACTGCAGTATATAGGGCCTTTTGCACCGCTTTAGTTCTAGAACTAAATGTACAGTACTAAAGTACTGTGATGATTTTGCGCGAATAAGTTGACACAACGTTTACAGTATGTTTACACAGCGTTTTAAATCATGGCGGATGAGGGCGTTTTCATACACGTTTGGTCAATCAATGTCTACTTGCATCACGATTAGTACCAGTTGTGCCGGTTAGACCCTGCTCCGGAGTAGGAGTTAATTTGGTTCTCGAAAAAGGCAGTCCGGTACTAAAATCGCACACCCAGTTCCGGCGGTGCGAAAACGCCAAAAAGTGGGTAGTTCCACAATTAGTTCTGGTACTATGAAAAGGTTCCCGCGGTGCGAAAGGCCCTTATGTTACATGGTCGATGTTTACATTACAGTACACATTTTTTTGTCCCTTTTTGTATAGGTGGTAATGAAATTGAAAGACTAACACCTGTAGAGTTGTCCAGTTTGCGATCATTACTATAATAGTAGGTCCTGGCACATTTTCTTTCAGAATTTGACAGCAGAAAGAACAAAAACTATATACTTCAACTAGTATTTTATACTTCATAACATTTTTAACCTCTTAAGACCCGGCAAAACATTTTAGGAAAAAAATTTTATTTTTCCATGTCATTACATTGTTTAGAGCATTAAAAAAAACCTAAAAATGATATTTCATTCATAAGTTATGCTACGTCCTTGGAAGAGGACAATGGGACTCAATAAAAAAATTAATAAAAAAAAGACATGAATGAACAAAATTTTAATAAGTTTAGTTTTCAGGATTTTTTTTTTTACCAAACTTTGTATAAAGATAATTCTCAACTATGTTATAACAGTATGATTTGATATACCATATTTTCTTTATGCAAACTGTGAGTAAAATGGCCATAAACTGATTTTAACTATATACTTCAACTAGTATTTTATACTTCATAACATTTTTAACCTCTTAAGACCCGGCAAAACATTTTAGGGAAAAAAAATTATTTTTCCATGTCATTACATTGTTTAGAGCATTAAAAAAAACCTAAAAATGATATTTCATTCATAAGTTATGCTACGTCCTTGGAAGAGGACATCGGGACTCAATAAAAAAATTAATAAAAAAAAGACATGAATGAACATGCATAGGCAAAAACAATTGATTTTTTTTTTTTTTAAATCACCAATACATTTTTAGTTTTCAGGATTTTTTTTTTTACCAAACTTTGTATAAAGATAATTCTCAACTATGTTATAACAGTATGATTTGATATACCATATTTTCTTTATGCAAACTGTGAGTAAAATGGCCATAAACTGATTTTCTCATTATGTATAATGTATTTAGAAACTAAATCTAATTTGCATATTAATGTGTTTTTGGGGCAATATGTAATGAAAAAATAAGTGTAATAATGGGAGTAATAATTGACAAGATTTTCATAATAATATATAATAGTTGATAGGAATATTGAAATATAATTAATTTCCCTATCCATTTGTTGTGTTTCCCAAAATGCGTAATAAACATGCTTTTAGTCCCGATGTCCTCATATGAATGTTCTGTTTCGTAACAGAAAGTCATATTTCGATTTGAAACCCCATAACATTTTCCTGAGATGTTGATTTATGACAGACAGTTTAAAAATTAGTCAGATTTAAATGCTAATGACAAAATATTTGTATAAAAGTATTTCCATTTTATCATATTTCCATAAGAGTGTCACTGAATTAATATCAGACATTTTTGAAGACCAAGGAGAGGGAGTGGTCATGGTGAAACATCCAAACATTTAGTATCTCTGAAAAGCCCTGAATGTGCTCTTTACAGGACATCCAATTAAAACTGTAGCATGTATAGTCTCAGAGAAATTCACTCATAATGTCCTCATATGAGGATGCAGGGTCTCAGGAGGTTAAAGACCTATTAATGGCCATTTAAAAACCATTAATCTCATAGCATTACTTATGCAATTCTAACTGCTGTTTAAATGCATTTATGCCATCTCTAAACAGTCTGTGTAAATATACTTAAATGTCACTTCAGATGCCACTTTTGAAAACAATATATTCTTTACAATATTCTTTTTGTAATGTCTATTCAATGCTTTTCTTATCTAACACAATGACATACGCTTAATTTGTGATCAATTAGAATAATGAGATGTTTAAAACTCTCATATACTCACTGGACTGTTGAGAATCATAAGACACTGGTCAAAATGGTGGTGCTCCATTGTGGAGTGGCAGTACAGCTGGGCCAGTGGATGGTCGCTTCTGTGAAAACAGTCAAATATGCCGCATCATTCTCATTTTTACATATCCATCTTGTTGGTAATAACACAAGCTGATCCACCAAACTAAAGTCAGTACAAACCTTTTGATGTAGGAGTTGTTGACACCTCGATGGTCCAAATCATGGCTCAATGTTGCAATCATTAAAGCTAAAACCTCCAAATCACTCAGATTAGTCTGTAAATGAAAACACTGCTTTATAAAATTATCAATCTTCTATGGGATTTTGGTTAATGCATTGAAAAGTACTGCAAAATATAGCCATGCTGTCCAAAAACAAATGCAGTCATATGTAAATCCGAATAACTATAATTACTTTCTGGTAAACAAGCAAACTAAATCCAATTAGACTTTAGCTGGCATGTCAAAACAAGACTTAACTAATAGTTCCCTCTCGAGCTTTCACGAGACATCACGGAGATATTTCTCCGTTATGGGAACTCCTTCCCTTCCAACCTTTCCTGAAGTCCTATTGGCTCCCGCCAGTCCAAATGACTGGCCAATTGACGCGAAGTATGCAAATCGCATGCAAATACTGACGAGCTCGAGCGGCAATATAAAATGCGGTGCACGCGACAATTACGTCAGAATATTCTACTTCACCTGTTGAATTCACTATGGCAACAATCTGCAAGATCTGAGCGGGAACAATAGAGCCGCCGGATCAGCACGACTGCTGTGTCGCCTGCCTGGGCCGGGCCCACGCGGAGGCGGCACTGGACGAGTCCAACTGCGGGCATTGGGCGGACCTTCCGGCCCGCGTGCTCCGGACCCGCCGCGATGTGGCTCGCGGCCTATCCAGGATGAGGCCCACTGCTGCCAGCGTGCCGCTGGTGGGCCCTACCGGTGACGGGAGCGTCGTCTTGTCGCTCCACCAACCCAAACGGTCACCCCGTTCCCCGGTCTCACTCCCCGAGGACTGCTTCCGCCCTCCTTCCAACATCGCGGAGTTTGTATCCTTTAGCCAGGAGGAGGGGGATGACTCGATGTCCATCTCGGCCTCGGAGAGGGAGGATTGGGCGGGATCGGAGTCCGATCAGCCGGACAGCATGGGGCCCCCAGACCTCCAGAGGGCAAAAGCCGCTATGTCAGTTCCTGAGCGCGTGGGAAGTTATTCCGGGAATCTCGCGCTGGCTACTCGGTGTGATAGAGCGTGGGTATACCCTTCAATTCAGACACAGACCAACCCCACTGCTGCCAGCGTGCCGCTGGTGGGCCCTACCGGTGACGGGAGCGTCGTCTTGTCGCTCCACCAACCCAAATGGTCACCCCGTTCCCCGGTCTCACTCCCCGAGGACTGCTTCCGCCCTCCTTCCAACATCGCGGAGTTTGTATCCTTTAGCCAGGAGGAGGGGGATGACTCGATGTCCATCTCGGCCTCGGAGAGGGAGGATTGGGCGGGATCGGAGTCCGATCAGCCGGACAGCATGGGGCCCCCAGACCTCCAGGAGGAGCTCATGAGGGTTCTGTCAAGGGCTGTCCAGGAGTTAGAGCTTACCTGGAGTCCTCCAGAGGAGCCTGCCAGGAGTAAGCTTGGACTCCTGGTATTTCAGGTCCACCCGGAAAGCTGACTTGAGGACGTTGGTCCCCTTTTTCCCCGACGTACATGAGCAGCTGGTAAAAACATGGTCTGTGCCCCAATCAGCGCGTGTCCACTCTGCCACACAGGCCATTTTTTTCCCACGTGGATGGGGCGGAGGCCCACGGGTACGTGCGCTCTCCCCCAGTCGAGGAGACCGTCGCTGCGCACCTGTGTCCTGCAGCAGCCAAGACCCTAGGCTCAGACATCAGCCTCCCCTCAAAGCCGTGCAGGACCACTGCCCACCTTGCCAATAAAGCATATGCGTCTGATGGCGAGGCGGCTTCCGCGCTGCACGCCATGGCAGTGCTGCAGGTTTTTCAGGCGAAGCTCCTGCAGGCAGCGGAGGGCGGAGCCCTCACGGCAGAGGCTGTTAAGGATCTGCGCGCGGCGATGGACTTCGCGCTGATGGCGACAAAGTAGTTCCTGAGCGCGTGGGAAGTTATTCCGGGAATCTCGCGCTGGCTACTCGGTGTGATAGAGCGTGGGTATACCCTTCAATTCAGACGCAGACCACCCCGTTTCAATGGCGTGGTGCAGTCTCTAACATTACCCCGAAACGCCCTGATTCTGAGACTAGAGGTATGCAGTCTGCTCGAAAAAGGAGCGATAGAACGAGTCCCTCCCAGCGAGCTGGAGAGCGGGTTTTACAGCCGCTATTTCGTGGTACCCAAAAGAAACAGGGGACTCCGCCCGATTTTAGATCTCAGGCCCATCAACAGAGCGCTTTGCAAGCATCCGTTCAGGATGATAACGCTGAAAAAAATCCTGGCGCAAATTTGCCCTGGGGACTGGTTTGCGTCCGTGGATTTAAATGACGCGTACTTTCACATTCAGATAGCACCGCATCACAGACGCTTTCTGAGGTTTGCTTTCGAGGGCACAGCGTACCAATACTCTGTTCTCCCGTTCGGGCTGGCTTTGGCCCCACGCACTTTCCCAAAGTGCATGGATGCAGCACTTTCCCCCCTCAGAGCAAGCAGGATGCGCGTTATCAACTATCTGGACGATTGGCTGATTTTAGCTCAGTCCCGGGACACGCTAGTCAGCCATATAGAC